AGACTAAACTGGACAAATCGTGAAAGATCAAGTGCTGCAACTCAGGCAGACACAATTCTCAAAGACCCTGACCCAAATGGTATTTCCCATAACCAAGAACCAATCCCAAACCACGCCATACGCCATCCAGAGTCCGAAAAATCGGAGAAAACAAAAAAAAAAAAGAAGCCGGCACAGAAAACAAAATGGAAAGAAAAGTTGAAAGTAGTCCGAACGCCTGTGCCCGCCTCGCTGTAAGGTATCGAAATGAAATCACACGAGAAAAGAAATTTTGGGTCGTAAAAAACGTTAAATCCACGGCGGAATTTTCCTTTTATCACAGGCCCACCATTACTACCACGCGGATGGTCGTATTACGAAGAGATAGACGGGTTTTTGGTGGGTGTTGCCTCCGGTGCGTCCTCCATAGAGATATCCGGAGAGTCAGAGGGCTCGTTCTTGTCGCCTCCGGGTTCGGTCTTGCGGTGGGGAGGTTGATGATTATCACCAAACACCGTCGTGATGGCCAGGAAATGTTGGGTGCGTAGACGAGAATCGCCAGGGGGCGGAGCAGGAGCTGGAGCAGGACCTGGGTCCGAGGTTGGGGTGGTCGCCATTGTGCCACGTCGAATCAGATAATCACCAAGACTGAGTTTCTTCTTGGCAGGGGTGGCTGCGAGTGCAGAACCAGAAGATGGCATGAGAGAAATTGGGGAAGCGGTGTCATGAGAACTAGGTGATGCGAGACTCCCTGTCGATATGGAACCAGGACTAAGTGCTGACGCCATGTTCGAGGCCCTTGGTGGTGGCATGGAAACACGCAGATTACCACGATTGCCAGCCCCAGGAATCCTAAAGATATGCGCTGCAGTGGATGGCCAATAAGGCGGAACTGACGGCTTGAGCGAATCACTGCTAGAAGCAGACGCGGAGGATTCCAGTTTGTACGAGAGGACGCCCCGAGTATCAACATCACTTTGGACAAGTCGCGCTGGAGGGTCATAATGCATTCCTCTGATTGAAATGCCATGGTAGTTGTATTCGGGCTGGGGGTACTTGGACTGGTGGAAAGACCATCGAGGGGGCATCGCAAGGGGGCCGTGATCCGCAGGTATTCCCATTCTGTCGGAATCTTCCCTGAGCAACTCGATATGAGACCTGTCGTCGATTGGGAGCGGGAACCAACCGTACCACCAGGGGATGACTCCAGATGGCACGACACTCAAGTCGCCGGCCTCCCATGCATTTCGCTGAGCCCAGTCCTCTGCGATGTGATGTCCTGCGCACCAGCGAATATTAAGCATAAGTGTTGGATGGATCATGTCGAGTCTGTATCCTCGCCTCAAACGTTCTGCGCGCAAGAACGAGCGTTCAACATCATCGGCGTAAAGTTCAGTTTGAGCGTCGACATAATTAACTTGACGCCGGGACGATTGTGCTGCCATCTCAGAGGACCGAGACACGCCAGGCTCGTGGTAAGGTTTGAAGTCGACACCAGTTTGGGTTGAGCTCGAAACTGTTGCAGGGGTGGACTGTGTCGGAGGGCCACTAGAACGCTTTTTCCTTTTGGGATTGCCGGTTCTAAGCTGCTCTAGCTGTTGGAACTGCTTTTCGGCATCCGCTATCTTGCGTCTTTCGCGACTGGACAGCTCTGGCAGTGTTAGCGGATTCGAACCCGTGGGGCTGAGATCGCGACTGCCAGTATGTCTACCACGCGCGGAACCAGACGTTGATCGGGCGTCGGCTGGGGGGTCATGCTCATCAAGATGTTTGGTGGTCTCGCTGCCGGCGCGACCAATGTCAGCGGGAAGACCGAGGGATTTTGGCTTCTTGCCCTTGCCCTTCGGCTTCGACTTGGCGCGTTTGTTGGTAGGGGGCTTGGCGCGACGATCAAGCTTGTTCAGTACGCAAGATTGAGGGTTTCCACAAGCACAACCACCGAAGTTGGCCAATGTGGTGCTAATGCAAATAGCGGCGTCCTTCGGATCTACTACCCTGTCCTTGAACTCTTCCTTCACTGTCGCATCAGAAGGAAAGAAAGAGTCGTCAAAATACCACATGGTGGTAATTTCTGAGTTTGCAGGGATTTCTCTTTTAGCGACGAAACAAAAATGATACTGCCGGCCATTGGTGATGTAGATCTTCAAGTTAACGTTGGCCTCGCATGACCGCCTGACGTGGCGGAGCTCGTTTCCTTCTTGACGACTGTCAATGTACAAGTCCAGCTGCCGGTTGAAGAACACGAAAGGCATGGCGTGCCCCAATTCCTCCCATCGGTTGCTGTCGAGCTTCTTGTAGTCCTTTACGTGGCCTAACTTGCCAAAGATTTCACCGACAATATCGTCCTTTTGAACTGGATCCTTTGTTTTCAAGATCTTGTGGACTGGGTGCTTGCCACCGATCTCAATTGTCTCGTCCGTGATGGTTTCCGTTGTCAATGAGGGCCAGCGAGACCGATCCATGGCCTCTTCGGACCGTTTGGCGAAGGCTTCAACACTGAGTCCATCGGTAACTCGCGCCAAGATCTGTGGGTCCTTCAGCCAAGCAACAATTTCATTGACAAAATCCACGCCGTAATTAAGGATACTCTTCGATTCAACAAATTGATCATCGCGGTCGTAAAGAGAGAGGAATTCGTCTGAATAATGAGGAATAGGAGGGCTAGGGATGCTTGTTGGGCTCATCGCAACCGATGTGGAGGATCGACGGTTTCGCGATTCAGCCAGGGGAACCGAAATACCACTCATTGAAACCGATGGGCGGCGAGACACCTTTGCTTTCTTGGACGGTGGCTGCTCACGGGAACTCGAATCATGTCGTCCATGACCGAAGGCAATCACATCGGCATCATTGGACTTTCTCTTCTGTGTTTTGGGGCCAGGTCGTCTTGATTTCCGGTCACCGTCCTCGCTTTTCTCTCGGATCCGCCGCTGCCGTTGTCGTTCGTGGGCACGACGATTGTCAAGGGGCCGTGGCTCGCAGTCGACACAGTTGTGCACATCTGGTACTTTCTTATCCGGGTAGTAGCAGAGAATGTGCTGCCATGTCTCGCACCCTTCGCAGAATACCGTGTTGCCATCATCTTCATCGAACGAGCAAATGCATTTGATGGTGTAAGGTTCTTCATCGGGTGCGCCGGAGTCAGAGGCGGCACCGTCAACGGCGGCAGGGGACCCGCGCTGGGCGTGGACCGGATAGGAATCCGTTGTGGCGTGCGTGATGGCGAGGGAGGAGGTATCTGTCATCGCCGACAGATAACCCCCTCTCAGGCGAAGACAAAATGATGTTTTCTCGACAGAGGCGTAGCCAGGCTGTCACTGGTCAAGTCGCATATCAATTTTTCTCGTAGTCGTGTAGTTTTCCAATCTCGTCTCGTTGGACAGTGGACGCGTTGGAAGGTTGAAGACGGTGCGTTCACAAGAAGGAAGCGAAAGGGGGGAGGGGAGGAAGTCGGTGAATCGATAATCGGAACGAGATTAAAAGAGGTTGGCGCAAAGGTTAAATGAGAGAAAGGAAGGAAGAAAGGAAGAAAAGCGCGAAGGAATGAGGGTAGGGGAAAGGAGAGGAAAAAGAAGAGAGTGAGTTTGAGGAACTGGAGACAGAGGAAGGAGGAGGCTACGGGGGCCTAAGGCAGAGACTGGGCCGTCCAGGTAGGCAGAGATACCAAGTGCGTAGGGGGTGAAAGGGGCGGTTTGAGACTTGAGGGGAGGAGTCATAGGGCATCGAGGGGTGGTTGGAAGGACTCGACCCGAAAACAGCCAAGGGCATTCTCTCTTTCTCTTTTGGATTTCATTGTGAACAGAGACATCTGGGGCAGATTCCTGTGAGTTTTGAAAATTCCAAGGTTACCGGTATGGTAATTTGGTAATCTGCAAAACCGACTGTTCTCAGTAAGCCATGGAATACGTTAGCCCTAATGCGGACTAGCGCAAGTCAATTGCAGTGGAGAAAGTCACGGGAATGTCATTGGATGCCTAGGGCACCACAGAGGTAATCAATGGGGAAGTGACTCTGGAGGGTTAGCATCTAGATGGATGAGTAGGAAACTGATATGAAAAAAAAAACATGGAGGATAGATTTACCCTCAGTCCAAAATGAACCGAGGGGCAGTCCTATGGGCCCTTCCACTGGGCTATAATGAAAGCCAGGCCTGTCAACCAGTAAAGCGAGATATCTCAGCAGAACGAGCAAGATCCCAAAAAATGGTATAGGTCTTGAATGTGCTGGAAGGATTTGTGATCTGGTCCTTTAAACCTCTTAGAAAATAGGGATTTTCTTGAGGGAGGACAAAGGAATTCCTACGAACTCGGCTCGGGAAAGAAATCCGTGAGAATGCAAGGGAGAACAGGAAGAGATCTGGGCTACCTACGGGAAGTATTAGATGTTCAAATGAGGGAGAGTTTCGAGAATGGACTGAAGTATCCAGGCAGTATGAGGGAGTATAAGGAAGTATGAAGAAGCAAAGTAAAAAGTAACATGGGGAAAAACACGGGAAAATGCTTGGAAGAGATAGGAGAGATGGGGAAGGGATGTTTCAAAGAGGGGCAAAGGGTCATCTGCTCTTGTACGACAAGGTTTCAGGCATATATCAGTATAAAATGTGAAAATCGGAAGAGAGAAAAGGGAAAAAAAGAACCTTGGAAGTTGAAACAGGGTTCCGACCTAAGTGGTAAAAGGGGGAGGGGGCTTGTTAGAATTCCGATATGATTTGTGATTTGGCGCCATTTGCCACAAAAAGTACAAAGAAAAAATAAAACAAATTGTCCGGTCAGTTTCGGTATATGGAAAGTTACTGTATTCTATTTGGTACATATGTATTTCTCTTCCTCTCCGGGACTCCTTATATGTCAACTGGTATACTATCAGATCAAGTCGCGCAACAAGCTCTTCTATTTGCCAATGCTATTATACAATAAACAAAAAGAATGAAGACTTGAACTTGAAACGACAATTAATCTCTAATAATAACAGACAACAATGCTGGGTTGTAGACATGCAAATTCCACTTTACCATCTCGCAACTATGAAGGCTCTGTGAACATGGTCTGGCTGAGTCGCAACTCAAATGCCCCGGAACCCTCTGGGATTACGTGGAGTTTCCCCCGATACGGGTGCGTCTTTGATGTTCGAGGTTCTCTTGGTCCTTCGCGGTCGCCATGGCTGCGCCCACCCATATCCACGTATCTTTCGATTTCAACAACGGGCACAAAGTCTTGGAATCGATGGGCTAAGAACAGCATGGCGAATACAGCGATATTGAAATATGAGATGATCAGTCTGGCTGCTCGGGACCCGATGAGATTTCCCTTGGGTGCTGCCCATAACCCGCCGCCCAGCAGCAGTAGGGCACTGATGACCACCCCGAAATATGTGCCAAATGGCTGTAAAGAGGAACTATACCGCCTGGTGATATCGTTCACGCCGAGCCGTCGATTGAAGTGACGATAGATGGTGCATGACACAAGCGAGGAAATGAAACCGGCGCTCGTGACGAGGCGAAGGAGATAGGTGTTCATGGTTGTACTCGAGACTTTCACTGAAACAAAGGCAAGACTGGAGAACAATGCGGACATCATAACGGCGAAATATGGAACATTCCCACGGTTGCGGACGGAAAATATCGAGGGCGCATGGCCGAGTTCCGACATTGCACAGAGTGTACGAGAAGAGAGATACAAAAAGGATCGCCCAGAAGCCACCGTGGAGAGCAGGATTGCAATCATCGCGATCGTAGGTACAATTTGAATATTCGCATCTTTGAGCCCGATCAGGTAAGGAGAAAACCCGGAGCCCGTTCCGTTGTTCGTCAGGCGCGTCTCATTGAAAGGAGCCATAACGCCCATGGCCAAAGAGCTCAGGATATACGGAAATGCCGTTTGAGCAACATCGGATGTGACTATACCTGGGATGCCGGCGCTTAGCATCGCTGTCTCGCCAAGTGATGCTGGCACAAGTGATGCTGGCAGTTCCGCTCGGTGCACAATCAGCTCAGGGGCAAATGTGAAAGCGATGGAGCCATCGAGAAGGCATTGGAAGAAAGCCAGGAATCGCCCCCATGAACCTCGAACTAGATACTCGTTCATGGCGCCTGGATGTTTCCAGTATTTGAATCCCCATGGGGGCTGCGCATCCACACCTCCAAGGCCCAGAGCCAGAGAGAGGACGAAGAGGGTCGCCATTGTGCCGATCTTGATCGCAGTGAACAATCGCTCGGAACTTTTGAAGATTCTTTCCGGCAGGAAGTTCGTTCCAACAACGATGACCGTGATGATAGCTAATCTGATTGCAATCGTGGAACCCGGTTTCCACAGGCCAAGGTTGACCATCGCCGATGTGATTTCGTATGGGACGAACAAAGCGAGGGCGTACCAGCGGAGGTATGCTGAAGCAAATGCCAGACTGCTTGACATGTACAGGTAGCCATTGGTGACTAGTGTCCCATGTTGTGATGGCATGTGAGTGGATACTTCGGCCATGCTCGTGGTCATGGCAAAGGTTAGAAAGGATAGGATTATATATGACAGGAGTAGCGAGGCAGGTCCGCCAACCGCGAGGGCCTGGCCAGCGCCGATGAACAAGCCAGTGCCAATGGTCGGACCGATAGCCATGGTGAACTAATAATGAAAATAGGTAATGAAAGGGTTATAGGCGACGATGGTAGAATAGAAGGTTGAGAGTGGTTTCGGCGGAAATTGTCAAGGGACCAGCCACAGCATCTCCAAACATCGCTCTTTCCTCGTGTAATGGAGATACGTACTTCGAGATAAATAAAAACATCAACCTTGGATTCAACTAATTAGTTCAAGAAGTACTACCAAGTGAGATACAGGGGTATGTAGAAACCAGATGTAAAGGGTATCATTGATTGTGAAGGAAAATAAATGGGGTGATGGCCGAGAGGGTGGGAAGAGACAAGTTTTGGTCATTTTTCAAGAACTTCTAATAATGTCTCGCAGTGCTTGGAAGGAGAAGATCATTGAGAAGCCAAGTCTGTTTCGGCGAACTCTAGCCATTCTCCAGACAAAGATCTTTTCCAGAACCGAACTGCCCCATCGTCTCCAGAGGAAATCAACGAGTCACCTAGCAGTGCATTAGCGAAAGACTTGGGATTGTATATAAACAAAGAAATACTCACCAGAGAACGAGAATTGAACCTGCCACACATCGAGGTGTTTGGTATCAATGCAAGCCACCTGTTTGAACGAGTGCCGAAATTGTGAATCACCGCTGGGTTGACGATCAGTCGCCGACGCAGGCACACGGCTTGCTAGAGCGGAGCCGATCCCGGACTGCGATGTAGCTCGGAGCGACGGTGACTGTGACTGAGTTTGGGACTGTGACTGCATGCGAAGTTCCGTCTTCCGGCCGTTAGAGCTTTGTGGTGCTTGGCCAGCTGGCATCGTGTACACTTCAAAGATGCGGACCAAACCATCCTTGCCGCCGCTCGCAATAAGATCGTAGCCACGCACAGAACCATTGGCCCACGAAATGTCTCTCACAAGACCGCTGTGTCCATTCAGTTCAATTGCATGGTAGAATCGTCGGTTTGCGTCAGTGCGATAGACCTTGACGGTGTCCATGGCAGCCACAATTAGCGACAGGCTCTTCCGATCGGAATCAGGAGAGATAGTGTGAGTGATGTCGGTAGGATCATGATGAAATTGGACTTTGAAACTTGTTTCCTCCCCGCGTTCCGGGGCGGTGCACACTCGGAACTGGTCAACAGGCTGCCAATCTGCAAGGCTGTCGGGGCTGACAGGTTCCATAACCATGAGGTAGCCATCGCGTGTTATCACGGCCAGCCATGACTCCAGGTCAATGTTGCGAAAGTCAAGTGATACAAATGGATGTCTTTGTGGTGCGGTCATGCGAAAGACCGACTTAAAACGTCGTCCTGAGTTTGGTGGCTGGGTTACATCTTCTTGCCAAATTTTCAACTTCATGTCCTCTCCAACACTGCCAATATGTTGGCCTGTGAAAGGACCATTCCATGTGGCCTGAGATAGCAGTTTAGTACATGAGCCGCAATGGCAGCCTCAGAATTGCGCCCTGGTTTGTTTGGGGACATACATCGCGAATCTCAGCATCGTGCGCGCGCCAGGTATCTATCAGTTGCCATTGGCCATCCTTGAGATCCCAAACTTTCATGCGGTGATCAGAAGAAGCGGTGACAATACGGTTGCCATAGAAGTTAAATCTGGTGACGGTGACCAGATCCCGATGGCCAGCGTCGAAGTCGGCAAACCCGGCCGTTATCTCGGGGCGCTCCACTGCCCCCATCGAAACGGTCTGGGCTATAAGATTGACGAATTAGACAGCTGGACCAATGACGATTTGAATTTCATGCATCTGCACGTATGAGGTATGAAACAGGTGGTTGACATCGCCTTACCTTTCTTGGTCGCGGGCATCACGGGATACCATCTCACCGCCCAATTTAGCGGTCAGATAACTCTGGCAGAACACGATAAGCTTATCGACTATTTGGAGAATGAAGACAGATTGCGCGTCGCCGACGTGGACTTTTCTTCTTGTTGCATAGGTCAATTCCTTGTGAATTTCTCTTTGCAGCAGAGGGACCTTGTTCCTGCCATCTCGGTCGTATATCCGCCATGCACACCTCAAGCTCCCTCTCCCGCAAGGAGACTTGGCGTCTACTAGCCATCGTGGGGGCCGGTTTAGCGGTACTCTTCACCACGTTTCAAGGCGATGGGGCGCCTTTAGTGGCTTCAATTGCGCTATGTGGCATAGTCTTTGCCGTGGCTTTCAGCCTGATCAGGTGGCTCGGGCCTGTATTTTTGAAGGCAGGACTCAAAGGCAAAGATATGGCAAAGCCTAGCCGGCCCGAAATGTATGTATATGGCTTTTGAACTTGAGATCATAGCATGTACTAATATTGGATCTAGACCTGAAACGATGGGCGCAGTCTGCGCAGTTGTGTATCTGATGTCACTCATTATGTTCATCCCGTTTGCCTTTTACAAGGATATCGTTGCAGCCACATCCGGCGGCGGAAACCGTGACGTTGTGATTGAATCGCAACATATTGAGAACGGCCGATTCCTTCATCGATTTCCTCATGGAAAGGTGAGTTTTGATTTTGTATCTACTGATGCAGGCCCCAAGCTAATGTGCAATCGAATAGCTTGCCTCTTACCTTTCTGGTCTTTTGTCTTTGCAATCCGTCGTGATTCTCGGGATCGGTGATGACCTATTCGATATTCGCTGGAGACACAAAGTCCTGATTCCTGCTTTCTCCGCAATCCCCATGCTCATTGTGTACTTTGTCGACTTTGGCGTCACCCAAGTCGTCGTGCCAGTGCCGCTGCAACCCTACCTGGGTGACGTTGTTGATCTTGGATGGCTGTACTACATGTACATGGCAGCGGTGGCAATCTTCTGTCCAAATGCGATCAACATGTTGGCTGGCATTAATGGTATCGAAGTTGCTCAGTCACTGGTGATTGCGATTCAATTGCTATTCAATGATGCGATGTACCTTGCACCTATGACACCATACCCACACCCAGCCACTGACTCGCACTTGTTGTCGATATACTTCCTGCTTCCATTTATTGGTGTATCAGCAGCCCTTCTATGCCATAATTGGTATCCGTCTAAGGTGTTCGTGGGCGATACGTACTGCTATTTTGCAGGAATGGTGTTTGCCGTGGTTGGTATCCTAGGACATTTCAGCAAAACCCTGCTGCTACTGTTCATTCCGCAGATCTTCAATTTTCTGTACTCCACCCCGCAACTCTTTAAGCTCATTCCTTGTCCTCGCCATCGATTGCCAAAATTCAGCGCTTCCACCGGGTTGCTGGACGCTTCTGTCACGGAGTGGACGAGTCCCCCGTCGCCTTTAATCAATACCGCACTGCGCTTATTACACAAATTGAGACTGGTGCGAATCACCCAAGCCGAGAATGGCCGAATTACTGAATCGAGTAATCTGACTATCTTGAATCTTTGGCTGGTGTGGGTGGGTCCCATGCGAGAAGACCAACTGGCGTGGCACATGGTTGCAGTACAAACTGCCTGTGGGATGCTCGGTCTGTTCGTACGACATCGTCTCGCGTTGCTCGTGTTCCACCATGATAACAGGGAATTCGGTTTTATCGCATAGCTTTAAAGGTGCCCTAGGTTGCGAGAATCCTGGGAACAGGCTCATTTTAGAAGCATCATCATTTCAATGTATATATTTTTAACATGGACAAAGGAATATGCCCCAAAAATAAATATCCTTGTGCCATATCAACTCTTTCTAGACTTGCGCCAGTATTTGATCCCTTGCTCTAACCATTTACTCATGATCCGAGGCCTCACGCAAACCAGGAGTCTCTCTAGCGATCTTTTTATCCCCAAAGGCTACCCCGACCTCCTTGACAATGAGCCAGGCAGGAAATATCGCGATAGCCCACAAGCCAAAGTTGAGGTATACACTACCCACCGCGGCCATGATGTTCACGCTACTTAGACCATACTAGAGACACCTCGTTAGTATTCATGTTGCACAGAGCGAGGTAAGAGGTGTACGTACGCTGACACACTGAGCGGCGGATTCAGTCCCTCGCAACAAGCCCGCAATCCGGACGACCTCTTCATGATCATCCGCAAGGTTGCCGACCAAGAAAAACCTGATCAATCAGCATAAGTCCAACTCAGTCGCCCATCGCGGTTCAACTTACAGATACATATAGTTGAGCTGGAATCCAGCAACCCAGAACAGGAAGAGGGCGAAGGCTCTTCCGAAACCTGGGTCAGTCCAGTCATATATCGGGTGTGTCTTGTTAAACTCCGTTGTCACCACTGAAGCCCAGATCCAGCACATGCCTTGCCACCCGACGACTAAGACAAATGCGTATCGACTTCTCTTTTTCAGAGATATCCGCTTGGTGTCAAGGAAGGCTCCTAGAAGGTTGCCAATGATCAAAGCAATCACACCAGAAAGGAATGATCCGAGAGCTCTGGCCCGTACTGAAAACCACAACCCCTCGTATGAAAACATCACAGCCTCTGTATAAACAGCTTGGCAAATGAATGGAATAATGTACAGAAACTTGCGACTGATCCAAAGCTTTGACATGCTCTTCAGCTCATATCCGATGCTGTTCGTCACTTGAAGTTGAACAGGGATTCCATCTTTTCGCTGTACCTGAGACGGATTGTTCAACAGCAGACCAGCGAAGGGGCCAAGAGCCTGCAGCGCAATGAAAACCAGGTACACAGTGTATGAGATAGAGCCCGAGGTCGACCGATGGGCATTGATGCCCAGACTGATGACACCGCCGAGAATTTGTCCTCCAACACGAAAGCTGAGCCAGAATCCCAGGAAGCGTCCTTGGTTGTATGGCTCGGGATATGAAAGCGCAATTGCTGCCTCTGCCATCCAAAAGATGCCCGCTGACATGCCGCAAAGTGCTGCGCCCAGGATAACCAGCCATTCTTGACCAAATCGGTTGTTTGTGTACAGTCCTGCTGCGTAAGGTGCGAATCCCATGGTCCCCACGATGAGTGTCCATTTGATGCCGATAAATCGCACGATGACACTACCAAAGAAACAAGAGACTACCATAAGCCCAAAGGTCAAGGCGTTTGCTGCGTTGAC